GTCTAACATTAATAACTTCAGCTGAGCAATAGGTTATTCACAGTAGGACTCGTGGCTTTCACCTCTGAATGAAAATGGTTGACATTTTCCTTTAAATGCACTTTGCAAAGTGGGTATCGAACAGTACTGCAAGTAACTTCTGGAAATGACCCTCGGCCAAACACCACACATGTAAATGAATGGTGTTGCAATGTCCCGAGTAAGAAGTAATAGTTTGGTTTCTAATCAAATAATCCCGCAAATATGTTAGTAAAAGTAATGTCCTCAATTCAGAGGTACGAGCAGCAAAGTGCCACCGATCTCAACCTCTGTGTGACATCATGAGATGTGCCACTGTAGGCTGCCCAAAGGCAAATGATCCATTAGCTCACACACATTTATTTAAAAGCAACATTATGAGTGACCCACATCCATTCAGGCAGGCTTTAAGCAGCTTCTCTAGCCTTGTTTGTCAGAACATCATTTTATCGAAACCTTGTGTTTATCTCAATAAATAATAAGAGGTGTTCACTTCACATGCTTTTATGTGAAGTGCAATTATTTTAATAATAGTAAGTAAATGTCTGATGAGAACATTTTCCTCTTCTCAGAACGAAGGAAGTTAAGATTATTTGACATGACAAGACATTGCCACCACTGGAGCTCTTTGTAGTCATTTCATAAAGCAAGCTGTGGCCGTAAAAATGGGTATTGACATTTGTAGCGAAATCCAGTGGTTTAATGGTTTTCCTGTGTTTATAAACATTTATAAGCAGAGAAATTTATCATCTTAAAAGCAGGGGGAAAAAATAGACTGATGTTTTTACCTCAAGGCTATCTTCTTAACCAGGCTGCTCAGGATGCTGTGTGGAGATTTCAACAGCAGCGAAAAACTCAAAAGGCGACTGATTATACTGCAATCTGTAATGTTCTCATCAGATACTGTAAATCCATTTCGATTCTCTCCTTATGACTAAAAAGAAGTATCTTGTCCATCCTAATGAGAAGATGAAATCAGAAGATTGATAGCTTAAGAACGGTGGGAATTAAAAAAGTATATTCAGTTTTTCATGCGCCAAATGTAACCAGGCAGAGGGATGGTAGTGACATAAGATAGGAGGTTGGTTTATGATATTTAAATAAGTTGATGTTCTGATCGGATGATGAGTTTTGAATTAAAAAGTCTCAAGTCAGAGATTTGCAAAATGTCAAGCCAACATGTAGAGTTGCCAGTGATCCTATGGAATAATGGAATCAGTTGAAGGATAGAATTTACGTTGTGGAACCCTACTCTGGATTTTTTATTTTTTAGCATAAAAACAGAAATACAGAAATACATTTAAATATATTACGATGTTCTTCTTTACGCTTATTTGATGTATGATGAATAACATGATGTTCAGGTTGAATGCTTTTCTCCTACATCTAAAGAATAGAAGACATTATTTCTTTTCATTTTTATGTAAAAAATCAGACAAGAAAATGAAATAGGCTGAGTTCTTGTCAGTTTTTAAGCATGATTGACCTTTTATCAAGTCTCCAACCTTTTTACCGACGGCTACTAAAAAAGAAATACAGCTACACATTTTTACCTCTGATTCTATTTAGTACAATGATGACATTGCATATTTAGCTTCCAAAACACACTCTCCTCCTCTCCCCTCCTCTCCTCATATCCTCTCTCCTCCCCTGGCAACCACAGGGAAATATTTACGATCTGGTACCTACCCCGGTCTGGCTAGACTTCCCTAAGCTTTCTGACTGCATCTCTAAGTATTTACAGTCTTCTCATTCAGAAGAACACAGATATGTAGTATGATATGTGAGACGTAGTGTTATTCATTAAATGTGCTCATAATGCATAATTTTGGGATAATGAGACAGTAGGAGCACATACTTCTGATCACAACCACTGCTGTCTCATTCATTTCTATCTACGTAACATACATCATGTTGTTTCACACATTTCTAATAAGCCAGTGTGCACAGAATTGCAGTAAAAGAGATGACACAGCAACCCCATTTTAAAGTCATAAGCATAATGTTTATGGGATGGTCCTTCCATTGTGTATCTGCGTTAGATAACATTTCATGTAATTTGTCATATTCATTGTCTCTGTATGAAAGAAATATTATTGGCAAAGTTGAGGCAACACCTTTGTAGCATAATACAAAAAAAAATTAATTGAAGGAAATTGAGATTAAGGACTGTTGCAATTTGTTTGTAATTGTTTGCACAGACTTAAACTCTGACTTCCCTGACACTTAAAAAATGTGTGGTACAGCATAGCAAGTTAAAGGGTGTTTACTTACAAGTCTTCTCAGTCACGTCCATAGTATCTTCATGCTGAAATGGCTTCAGTCCCAAGGGTGTCACGGTGAGAATAAGAAGTTACGTGAAAGATCAAGAAAGTAAAAACACAGGTCGATCAATAAAGGGCCCGTTTTTCTTTTCATAACCACTCCTCTGGGGTTGCTGAATGTTCTCCCTGAGGTCTCTACATGTGTTTTGTAGACCTGTAAAGACTGAGGTGGAGAGGATCTTTCACACTCATTCCACCACCAGCTTTGACAATTTTTTTACCCTCTGTATCTATTTTCAGTTATTTTACCCCACATTTCTATGCTTAAATCGTTCCTTTTTACTTAGTTGTTTAATTCTTAAGACCCTCGAGCCCAGTCGAGTTAAATCGGGCAAACATGAGCAATGAAATGTTCACATGGGTTGAATAAAAAATGACTAATCATGACCTTTTCATTTTGAAGAGAAAATGACTGCGCAGTAAAATTAACAACCAAGCTGTCCATTGTAAACATAATCTGATTAAGTAAAACATCCTGCTTTTGCTTTGTCCAATCTGATTTATATAGCTTAAAATCATATACAGTCATAACAGTCCCGTCGCACTCAATGTTAGATGCCATGGTTAAACTAGGGCTTTTTTACATGTTTGATATCATCACTGCTACATTATTGCGTGACCCAGATCTCAGCATTTAAATTGGGAATCGGTTTGCCGCAACTACAAAAATAAGACCCAGGTTGTAACAATAACCTTTCACTCCTTGTTCTTGTTCTAAAGCCACCCGCAGTTGGTTTTTGCCTTTGTAATTGATTATGTTTCAGCACATTTTCTGTCTATTGGATAATCCCACTCTGGCACAGTTCCTCATAACCCAGGCATTCTGTTTCAGAATTGTTGCCAACACATCCCGACCAACCAATGGGAATCTTCAACGTCTGTGACCTAAATTTTGGAGTATGAGTAGAAACATACTGTTACTCTGCAAGATGCAAGAACATTTACAAATAATTGCTGGAGAGCTTGATTTGTTGGTCAATACAAGAAAATATACTCACAAACCATAAATGTTGGCAGCTGCATAGCAAAGACCTGCTTACTTCAGCACTCCAGCTCTCACTCGGCTGGTTGGTTTTTGAAAGTGTCAGGAATATTTGCCTCTCTGATTCCAGGAGTGTAATGGCAATCTGGCAGCCTTGTGATTTAGTTGCTGAGAACAACCCTGTCCTTGAGTTTCCAGCTAAAACATACATTAGCATTTTAATAAATGTACTATTTTTGAGGAAACAAATACAAAACCTATATTTTATCATTTTACTCACTTAGTTCTTTTTCTCCCCCCTTGGTGGCATCGTATTGTATCATTTTAGCAGCTCTATAAATTAATCCTTGGCCGTGTGTTTGTATTCCACTGGGATTAGTTGTGTTGCAGAGCTGCTCCATTTCTGAGAAGAATCTCTAAACCAGGCTACCATAATGAAGTTATCTAAGTTTAATTATGTATTGCTCTATTTGCTTTTCTCAAAATACATTTGTGTTAGTGTCTCTGTCTGTGTTTTAAAAGTAGATTGTGTTTTTTTCTTTTTAGGTTGCCAACCTGGCATGCTCCATCTCAAACAATGAGGAGGGAGTGAAACTGGTTCGCATGGCAGCATCTCAACTGGAAACTCTATGCCCACAGGTACCAGGCAGTTTTTCCCCTGACTTTCACTCAGTTCATTGATAATACAATTCTTTGATTTGTCCTTGTTGTCTTTTACTAGAAAGAGAATTGTCAATGTTGAAACTGCAGTTTATAGAAATAGTGTTTAAAGTGTTTTGCAGCACGTAGTTGCTCTCTAAGTTTTTTCATTATTTTGATAAAAATACACAAACAAGCAGTTTAGTATTTTATAACCTGATTAAAAAAACTAAAGATTTCCATCTGCCATGCACAAACTTTGATGGAATGATCAATGGTAGGTCAAAATCACAGTCAAACTGAACACGAATCATTGAGTGGGCGTTGTTTTCTTTTCAATAAATAAATAATTGGAACAATAATGAAAGGAAAAATGGGCACAGAACTGGCTACTCAAAGACTTCATTTACACCTGGCATTAAAATGAGTTTTTTTTATCCACAATGTATCTGGATATGATGTTAACCTGTTTACATTTACACCAGGTATTATGTCTCCAATGTCCACCGCGCAGATCAGATTTCAGATCTGATCGATTTCTCCAGCTCATATCACGCTTGCTGATTTGCATCAATCCATAAAAACAACTAATAAAGAAAGAACAGAGGATGGTAGCCATCCATGATGGTATTTTTTTCATTTGCTTTTCGATTGGTCTCGTTCTCCGGCCTCTTGATGACTTTATGTGTTTATGGGCTAATGGTTCGATCCAGTCGTGTGTCATTGTTTTATTGGCCCCCATGTAGTTATGTATTTGAACTGACAACCTAATCGCATTTATACTTGTGTTCAATGTGTCACAGTGTGTCCCTGACCAATCACAGTCCACTCTCAATGCATCTCGGTTACTTTTTTTTCTCTCCACTTTCATGTGGTCAAGCTCTATCGATTGCAATCCTATCAACCAAAACAGATTTTGTTGCCAGTTTTAAGTGTAGTAGAAATTGCATAGATAGTGGAAATACCTGTAGTTAGTATTTGCATTTTCATACATACTATATTATCTTAAGTGGACAAGTCAGAAAGAGCAAGGGGAAAATATTAAAACATTAGTACTTTAAGTCTTCTCCATCATTGAGTCCATCTTTTTATACCTCTTACCACACTAACTACCAGTCCCTCATCTGTACCTTTGAGCTGTGCCAGCTCCCTTCAATATGCTGCCACTGCTCTTTTTAATCTCATCTAATGACTCCCATTCATCCTGAGCTTTGATACCCACAGATGTTTCTTCCCCCAAAACAAGCAGCTATTAGTTTTATTTCAATCAATCCTTCAAAACACCCTGTGTCTATAATCACTCCCAGGAATGAATTGGCTTCATACTTCAGTCCCAACATTGAGGCGGTAGAGTGGGGGGGCTTCGTGCAATCAACCTATGCAAATGTTGTGGCTCAGGGCTATGCTGTAATGGAGCTTTAATGGCTGTAATTGGGTGATTACAGGTGATTAATGCAGCGTTAGCCCTTGCTGCCAAGCCCAACAGTAAGGTGGCCCAGGACAATATGGATTTGTTCAAGGAGCAGTGGGAGAAGCAGGTTTGCGTCCTCACTGATGCTGTTGATGACATAACATCCATTGACGACTTCCTTTGTGTGTCTGGTAAGTGGTATTCTTCTACATGGACAAATAAAAGAGTACTGTTGGGATGATTTGGATTAGTGATGTGTAAACAGGAGGGGCACTGTTTATTGGTAGACAGCACTTTTGAACAGAATTAAGATGGATTTGCACAAAGCTTTTAAGACCATTCTTAAGAGGAGGTAAAATGGCGATAAAGGATCTGTGTTATTTGTCTTTTCTGATGAGAGCCATACATACCAAGGCTGATTGGTTTCCACAGAGGAAAGCACTGAAGCATCAGCAGAACTACGTTTGAAATTGACATCCTGTCCCGTGCGTTAAAGCACACAAATGGTTTGTCAGGCATACCCTTAAAGAGTTCTCATTAAGCATTAAGCAGACTGACTTCTCTCACCTCCAGCCAAGGACAGACTGTAATTTACACAGTGGACATTTGCATTTTACAGGCTCCCATTAATAAGCAGTCTGAGAATTTGTCTTCAGCCCTCTCCATTATACACTTAAGCTTCCCAGTGACCTTCTTAATTTCAGCCCTATGCAAACACACAATGAAGGCAGAGTATTTGCTTAATATATGTATTTTCTCATTATTACCCGCATCAAGATGATCCAGTTCTGATTAAAGCGTGTTTTAGATGAACCAATGACATTGAAAGTTAAGGCAGGCTGATGGAATGTTTGGAGCAAAGTGTTCAACTAATGAGACATATATGACACTTATAGCATTATTGTTCGTTTGTCCCCAGAGAACCACATCCTGGAGGATGTGAATAAGTGTGTCATCGCTCTGCAGGAGAAAGATGTTGATGGGTTGGATCGCACTGCTGGGGCGATTCGAGGCCGAGCTGCAAGAGTCGTCCATGTGGTCACTTCTGAAATGGACAATTATGAACCTGGAATCTACACAGAGAAAGTGTTGGAAGCAACCAAGCTCCTCACTGACACAGGTATTATACACATATATTATAATCTAACTGGAAATGTGCTTCTGCAAAACAGACTGTGCATTTACATGTTTTTAAATCATTTGACTAAGACTATTCAGGTCATTAAAAAGGTACAACCTAACTTGCTTTTCAATAGTGGATGTGTCCATATCGGTGGATTACACACATAAAACCAGGATACAATGTTCCCTGCAGTGATGCCATGTTTTGGCCCAGTGTGACAAAAACAGGGTTAAACATTCCTCACAATTTCTTATCTTCCTTCCTTCCATGGTCTTAATCAGTGAAACTGGTATCCAGCCTTGAATGTTTTGGTACTTATTCGCTTATTATGAATACAGCATCTCCTAAAGGGGACCCGCTTTTTCATTTCTTCAGTGTATTTAATAGGTTTTTGTGTCTGTATCAGCCACAGCTATTCTGGCATGCCCTCTTGTAAAGCAGTTGACCAATGCCAGAACACTGGGCCAGCTGGCCAATCAGAGGATTGGGCAGTATGAAGAAAGTGATGTTTTCTGAACATGAGAGCATGTTAATCTTTTAAAGAAATAACCCAAATTAAAACTATGAAGCTGAATATGTCTCCTTTAAATTATCTGAACACATCTATCCTAGCCTGCTGAAGTGTTTTTTGTCACAGCCTAAGCCACACCCAGATAAAAGTATTTTCTTAAAAGGCTAGTTCAATCTTTATTGTTACTTCGAGTTTGAATGTTAGTGACATTAAATTGCCAAAAGAAAATTCATATATGCACTGACTTGGCATAGAAAAGTGTATTTTTTGTCTGTGAAGTTGACTGTTCAGTTATATTATTATTATCGCTATACTGTGAGATCCAACCAGGTCTGACTCAACTGACACCATTCATCTGCACAGCAGGCACTGTTCAGTTGTAGTTGTTGAAGTGCAAGTTGTATTTTAGCCTCAACTCAAGAGAGGTGACGATATCTGGACACACAGACTGCAGTGAGACTTGTCAGATTCTTTCACCCCATGTCAACAGTAAAGTGATGGGATTCGGCTTAAAACTCAGCAGTCACTTTTTCATTATAGAATTTCTGATCTGACATGCATGTGTAACAAATGTACAGTAAGTAGAAGTATTAGTGTGAATCAAGTTTTATGGAAACTTGCAGGTATGTGTTCCTTTCATTCATCATTGATGAAAATGAACAGGGAATGTCGTGTATGTGACTGGATATCCATGTATGACTTTAGTTGCAAAATGCATAAAACATGGACAAATCAAAAACATGGATATATTTCACAACAGAATGAAAACTGCAATCTTGTCTTCATTATGTAACGGAATAAAATACAGTGAAAACAGTGAAAGGTTCAAAGGGTCTGAAACACCAGCACCTATTTGAAATTTCTCTCACAAGCCTGCAGGTTATTAACAACCTGTGAGCACAATCCCTGGTCCCCTGTGTCCCTCTTCTTCTTCTGCTGTTCTCTGCCTCCATATCTGCATCCTTACATCCATTCCTCTCCCACAAAGGCCCAGTTGAATTCTGAATCTAAATTTTAATTCTGAATCAGGAATACTATTACTGCAGATGTGCTGCTGGAGAGGCCTCGGGAGCTGTTGTTAAAATTCATGTCCTCTGGGACAGCTTTGTGAAACCTTTATTGGAAAATGGGATCTATTTCCTTCAGCATTTCCCATATTTGTACTGCAACCATATAAGGTGATCAATAGATCAATAGAACAAATTTCCATTTGTCAACATGGAAGAGATGTAAATTCTCACTTTATTGCCAATGCTTGCACAAACCTATTGGCTCTGTTTTAACTGTATGAAAGTAATGTAGTTGTCAGTAGGTCTATGCAACATTCTGTCTATCTTCAAGTTTTATTTCAAATGTTTATGTGACACATGCCATGCTTCGCTCAAGGTATATTACTGCATTCTTTACTTCTGTACCTTTCCTGTGTGTTTATGGAGTGGATTTTCAGTTCAATTTCTCTTTTGTTTTTCCATTCTTCTTCCAACCCTTCATCTCAACCTCCTTCAGTCATGCCACGGTTCACCGAGCAAGTGGAGTCTGCGGTGGAGGCTTTGAGTTCAAATCCTTCACAACCTGTGGGTGAGAACGAGTTCATTGACGCATCCCGTCTGGTATATGATGGCATTCGCGACATCCGCAAGGCTGTCCTCATGATCCGAGTAAGTTGCACAGTATTTATTTATTTATTTTTTCACTTTTCACACTTGACTCTTGAGATCATCGCAGTGTGATAATCAGTATTTATCTTCAATGATGTCATCTGCTCCTCCCCAACCATTTGCATTTGCATTATCTACTTTTTCGTCCCTATGGAATGAGTTATAAATGTGTTGGGTAAATAATGCTCTTTTATTTCTGGATGTTTTTGCATGTATAGCAAGGTTTCCTTTTGATCACATTAAGAAGCTGCAACGCCCTAAAAGAACACACAAACTCTGTGTAAAGATAAACATTCATATTCATGGGCAGCTTTCATTTTGATGTGGTTTCATTTGAAGCGCTTCAACAGAGGTCACAACATTGTAACAGTGCCTGGTTATAGTAGTTTAATGTGTGTGTGAATATATAATATGGCTCTTGGTCTTGGAGCACCAGATGCTGTTGTTAATGGTATGTGAGAAACTGTATATGCGTGCAGCCCTAGAAGCCAATGATTAACTTGTCTCAGGCAAGAGCCGACCTAATTGACCAGACTTGCAATCTAGTCTAACTGTCTTAGTTGTCTGTGGGTTAATGGCCTTTGCTTGAGTAGAAGTATAACTGAGACAGATGGTGGATGGGTACCACTGAAGCGTTATGCAAGTGACTGACAACAAAACCCACTGTAGCGAAAAATTGATAGTTCTTAAGATGGTATAGTTGAACTAGTCAGTAAGTTGATTTGTCTAAACTGCTCCTCATGTCTAACAGTACCTAATTATCTATTTACTGCGATGAGTTACAATGTGCTGGTTGGTTGTATTATGCCATCTTCCATTATTTTCAGCACTTCTTTTCCATTTGAATCGTTAGTCTTGACAGCACATTTTGTGTTGACAGTAGTGCTCCAAAACTGTGCCTGGGCTCTCATTAATAATGCTGCACAGACATGGACAAAAACCAAATGAGAGAGAGACCATTATGCAGTATTTGCATTATAATAAGCAATTGATTTAAGATGGAGGTTTTAATTAGCATTTTTTAGTCGGACTGAGAACTACATTCAATATCCATCTGCCCCAGCTCCGCTCTTGTTATCCAGAATGATTAAGCTGAAAACACTGGACCCGTGGGGCGGGCTGAACTACATGGGTGGGTGTGTGTGTAGGTGTGCATATGTGTTAAAAGAAACCTGAGGATTTATGAAAAATCTTGCTTATCTATAATTAATTTGTCAGATTCAGTTGGCCATTAAGTGAGAGCAAGAGATAACAACAAGGTTCAACTCAGACTTCATCCATTATCTAAAATGAAAAATTATCCAGTTTCACAAAATTTTGGGTCAGATGTGAGAGGTAATCATTACAGGTTTTAAGGGGATTATTTAGCTGATCATTTAGCGGCAAATGGTTATTGAATTTCCAGCAGCATGTACACAGCAATCTCTCAATGCTTAATGTCAATTGTTGTTGTTTGTGATGAGATCAGACTAATGGATCAAAAACAATAATGCTTTGTTTGGATGAACAAGCTGGGAATGTTTAGCTATGAGTCCAAAGAGATATCAAATATTGCAAATCAGCTGAAGAACTCCATGATATGACTTCTCTACAGGGCAAGTCCGCACAACCGCACAGGAACACACTCTCCAGTCATCTTTCTATAAACCCTCAATTGCTCGCACTGCACAGTGACCTACTATGAAATCAGAACAGACAAGTGTGTGGCTCGGGCTACTTAAGATAGACAAGTCTTTAACCTCTCTAAGTGGTGCACACACAGTCTATGTTGGTGGACAGGACCCTCTCCTCACCCACAGTCACATCACAGAAAATGCCTCCCAGACATTGAACTGTCTCAAAGTCAGCAAGTTGCTGACAGGAAGATACAGGGGACAGCTGTCGTTATCTTGTGGTGTGTGAAGTACGTTACAGCACAAGGTGTTTCTCACGGCTGTGTCCTAAAAAAAAAAGGGCTCTTCTCACAGAGGTAATGAGCAGAATGTCAAAGTAAGAAACACAGTGGGCGATTTTACCCTGTCCATGTACATCAGCAGACAGAAAAGCTAGATAAGATTTTCCAGCAGTATCATGAAACTGTGATTTAAGCTATGCTGTTGTTTTTTTTAAATTATTGCACAGCTACCCGCTGGTTTTGTGTTGCACTTTGTGTTAATTAGACATGTTCTAATACCAGAATTGTAAATGCCCCGGATATGTTTGGTCGGGCATCAGCGAGAACGCAAATCCTTCAGTGGTCCCATAGCGTATCTTTAATGTGCATTTGTTTAAACTGGATAAAGCAGAAATCACTTCTTCTTCACTGCTGCACAACAGAAGCTGTACTGTACTGCCACTGGCAAGCACTGCTTTTTTAACAGCAGAGATGTGATTTCCAGCAGTGTAGCGTTAGCCGGAGCTAGCTGAAATGTCAGCAATATTCACACAAGTAAAACAGTGACACGTGCAATTTCCAAGACTTCAGTTTTCGAGTGGTGGCACTAGTGTTTTCGATTAGAACACTAACGACCTCATAAAGCATTTGAAAGGGTTTAAACTAACCCAGGCCATACAACAATAAATCAACATCCATACAGCTGTTAAAATATCTTGTATGAATTATTTTTTAAATGTACTGGTATCTGATCTTAAGTCATTATTGGTTGATACACAGAGTCCAGGTTAATTCAGGTGAAACTGGGTATTTCAAATCCCACTGTCACACTGGAGTGTGAAAATTAAATATATCAATTCATATACTTTGCCTAAGTATGAAAAAAGTATTTAGATTTCATTTACTGTGGCATTATCTACCTCTTGAACACTTCTTTTATTAAACAGCACAACTGCTGCTGCTTCTCTACAGCAATTTCCCATTTGGTGCTCACCATTAACTATCATTTCAGACCCTCCCACGTTCACAGGTTATCTGTTGCACAGGCCACAGCAGGTGATATCTCTGCCCCACTGAACAGCGTTGTCTGAGTTGAAAGAGATGCCTATGAGTCACTACAGCTTTGTAGCTTTCTGAAACCGTACCCCCATTCCCTTAAGAACAAGAGCATCTCTACATTCCATAAAGGAGTGTAAGGTTGTTCAGAGACCTTCAGCTATTTTTAGATGTGAGGGTTCCAAATCCATTACAGAATAGACGTATTGAGACAGCTTGATAAGCACAAGTAACGGCAGAGGTGTGATAATGCACCGTTATCTGTCCACATCATCTATCCTGTGCCCATATCACAACAAAATACATTTTCCCTCCAGTCAGTGTAGTATTTTCCCTGAAGCATGACCTGTTGAGATGGAAATTCTTTTTAATATTAATATTTATTGGGAATTAGTTGCTTGTGGCTTGTTTTGCATTCAACATTAGGGAAGAGGTGAAGAATTGGAGATGAAGTAGCAACACTCTAGAAGAACGCCACTCATGCCTCACCCCCCTTTTTCTACAGAGAGCAGCAACAGATGGAACTCTGAGGCGTTTTGCTCCCAATGTGTTTCATACCAGCCCGTACCTACATATTCCCTCTCAAAATGCACAGGCAGCACGTTACACTTGATTTGCGAATACATTTAGACGTTGCAGTTTCTAGTACCATGGGGTACTATGGGGAAGAAGACATTTATCTGATACTGCTGTGGCTTGTAGTGCCAAGGCATTTCTCATTGATAATAAGCAGGCTGGCAAATTTAGTACTGCTCAAAAGGCTATAGTATGCCAGTATTATTTTATGCTCCTTACTCATAGCTTACTGCTTTTTCATTGACCAATTTTCCCTTTTCTTCCCTTTTCTCTTTTTGCCCCTCCCTGCTCTGTACTTTTGGCTCTTTTGATCTGTCTCCCCTCCTGTACCCTTCCTTTGCTACGTTCCCCCTCTCTGTTGTGCCATTACAGACCCCAGAAGAGTTGGACGACTCTGACTTTGAGGCTGCAGAGTCTGAAATTCGCAGCAGGACCAGCGTGCAGACAGAGGATGACCAGCATTTTGCTGGCCAGAGTGCACGGGTAAGTTGTAAATTGCTTCTCGTAGTATTTACAGATATTACTGAGTCTAATCTCCTGCCTCTTTAAATGGCATCAATGATAGCACGTGAGAAATTTGGAGATATGTGCAAAACAAAACACATATACAT